GGCCAGTAGATCTAAGAAGCAGCCTAATTCTGTCCCCCAAGGCAGATCGTTCTGTCCCGTGCTGAGATCAGGCCTTATTTTGCTTGGGATGCAAGTTTTAACACCTTGTAAGGTGGGGCAGGGAGCAGAGGAGAGCACACAGCCCCGGACCCCCTGCAGGCCTCTTTCTGCAGCTCGCACTGGTACCCAGAGCCTCAGGAGAACAAAGTCAAAGAAGATCCCCTACCCCACACCATCCCACTATATACCCCTGCTTCTTGCAAAGCAGAGCTACACAGAGCCCCTTAGTGCTGGGGGAGGGCTGCCGGATGCAGCCCCTGCATACTGGAGATGCGCTGTTGTGGAGGGGGGGAGGCTGGAGATCACAGCAGCACAAAGCTGCCTGCCCTGCACATTCCTTTCCCCAGCCATAAAAGGTGGCTTTCCGGCTGGCATGCACCGACTTGCTCAGCTGCTCAGGGAGGAAGCCGGTGAGAGGTGTTTTACTCTGCCATTATCCATGACTCACTCCAGACTCTACCTTCTACTTCCAGGGTGGGCAGCTTCAGAAGGGAGCTGGTGTGGAGGATGCATAGCACTGCCCCTCATCTGAGAGAAGGAGTCAGAAGCGGGGCACAATCTGAAGCCCCCAGGGGGACCTGGGCCACCACCATGTTACAGGAATGATCAGCCTCCAGCCCTGCACTCACAACATCATACAGGTCCCTGAGGCAGCAGCTGGGAGTGTGGCGGGTGAGCCCCATGGGAAGGCCACTCTCATGGTGAGGTGCTGAGATTCAGGGCCCTGAGATTCAATTCCCAGCTGTGCCACTGACTCCCTTGGCAGCCTGTGTCAAGTCACTTAGCAGAAGATGTTCAGGACTGGTGTCCCTAGCAGCTGTAGGGTGTAGGGCCCTGTCTGGTCTGTCGGTGGAGAACAGAGGTCATGATAATCCCCTCCCTCACCAGGGCATGGAGAGGCTGCACCTCTTAGCATATGTGACCTGCTCAGAAATGCCAGTGATCCCGTCTGCACACTCGGAAGCAGGCTCGGCCTCTTGCTCTGTCCAGCTCGCTGCATCTGGGCTACCTCGAGGCCTCCTGGTGCATGGGTAATACTAATAGCAAGGTGGGTCATATTCAGACTGCCACAGCGCACCAGGCGTGACTGGCTTGTTTGGGGCACGTGGAACGTGACTGGTCTGGATCGCTGAATAACGCCCTGCCTTTATGCTCCATCAGCTGGGAACTGATTTCCCTCAAGCTCAGAAGAAAAGCGCCTGCCTTTGCTAAGCCCATCCACACAATATCATCTCAGCCATCCACCTCAACCCTAGCCTCCCAAGGGGAGGAGGGATATAGGGATCTCTTGGCCTCTTCATGTCTAGCTTCGCCACAAGTGCAGCCAAGGTCCTCCAAAGACCCCGGCATCAATCTGCAACCAGAGAGCTCAGCACCTGAGCTGCTCCTGGCATGCTGTCCTCCTCAGCTGGGCCGAGCACTTGTTACACGCACACAGGTTGCTCACGGTCCCACATGCATTTGCAGGTACAATCCAGGCGGATTTGTTTTAAAGGGCACCCTGGCTACTTTCAGATGGATGGCTGCATGCCAAACTCTTGACAGTGGCAGGGCAGCGGGGGGTGGGGCACCCCCAGCCTCTCCCCCCCCTGCCACCCTCAAGAGTTTTGCATTCGCTGCATGGAAAAGCTGGGCACCGATGCACTGTTTTCTTGCTGAAGTCATTCGAGTCTCGGGATCTGGGAAGCAAATCCGTGCCCAGAGCACATCCTCTGCAGGCAGATGATGCAAAGCCCTGAGAGGCAAGTTTCAGAATGCAGATCCCAACATGTCCTGTAGTATGACCAAGCTGTCCTAATAATCGTCTCATGTTAAGGAGCGTCTGTAGGTGCTTAATTACTGTGCACCTGTAGCGATCTGTTCGGGCTTCAGTTCTGCCAGAGACGGGAGCTTCGGCGTGATGCGCAGTGTGTCTCTAGCAGCCCCCTTTCAGGGAGGACAAGGCACCTCGTACCCAAAGCACGGGGCTAGGCATGAGGCAGAGCTGGCTGTGGGTCAGGGGGAGGGAAGGCTAGCAGTTAGATTGCTGTTCTGGGAGGTGGGAGATCCAAATTCAAGGCCCTTTTCTACTACAGACTCCCTGTCTGCCTTTAGGCGAGTCACTTAGTTTTTATGTTTATGGGTGAAATGAGGCCATGGCACCTCCCTTTTTTTTATAAGCATTAACTTATTAGAGATTACAAGCATCACTGAATGGCGCCAGTGCTTATGTCAGGGCAGCACAGCTCATCCCAGTCTGTGAATCTGGACCTCCAGCCACAGATTCAAAGTACCCCCTCGCCCCCCGTCTCTTGTCAACCAGAGCCAGAATAACCTTCCCTGTCCTGCCGCCCCCAAGAGAACCCATCCCCTCCCAGTGTTTCCATCTCCACGGGGACTTCGGCAGCCCCCAACAAGGCTCCCCTCCGTGGTGCACGTGTGCTGGAGGGACCAAGTGCTTTCCCTGGGGAAGAATTCCTCTGGGGGTCAGGGGCTGGGCACACCGAGAACCACACGCAGTGGCCTTGATAAGGGGCAGAGCCACCGGGGAGATAAGGGGAGATGAACACCAGAGCGGAAGCTCAGTGGAGGGGGAGTGCTGTCAGCTGCACAGCCTTTGCTCCAAAGTTTATTGGGGAAAGCAATAACGGGCGATCGATACCAGCGGGAAGGCGGCTGTCGCCTCTAACAACCAGATCCTGCAGGGCCCGCTCAGGCACTGCTCCAACTGGCAGCAGGAGGGATTCAGCTGGGCACCTCGCTGGAGCCAGCTCACAGAACAGAACGGCACGGCTCTCTGCCTCCATCCTTCTTTCTTCATCCCCTTCACGCCCCTTGCTCCATTGCTATCAGATTAGCATCACACCTGCTCTTGGCAAGCAGGGATTTCCCAGATTCCCCAAGGGCTCTGCACCCGCAGCTGAGGACTGGATTTCCCAGAGATCTCAGCTCTCATTTAAGGTCCCGAAGGGTTCAAAGGATCCCAGCCCCCAACAAGCTGAATATGATGCTCACAGTATTCCTGCCTGGCTCTACCTGCAATGTTTCCTCAGGAGAGCGCCGAGTGTTTATAAGGGAGGTCAGCATCATTATCTCCCATTTAGAGATGGGAAGACTGAGGCACAGAGACAGGGAGCAATCACCATGATCACCTAACAGGCCAGAGGCCAAGCTGAGAACAGGCCCCAGATCTCACCAGACAAAGCGCTAGGTACAGCTATGTACTTCCATGGCAGAAATTCATGCCCTGCTGCCAAAAGCAGCTTTGCATTTGACCCAGAGCTGGAAAAGCAAATCACTCAGGCAAGCTGGGGCTGGAGCTCAGGGGTGCCATGCTCCAGGCCTGGGATCAGACTGCTACGCCATTCTTATGGTGTCTTCATGCAGTAGCTCACCCCCACCCTGTCCCTGGGTGACCCTACCTGCAAATTGCTTCATGGTCCCCGGGAAGAGCTTACAGGATGTTCTCAGCACGGGACACGGTTTGTGTGCAGTGCAGGCATGTTGGATGTGCTGTGCTTCCAGCGTATTAACCAGCCTGCGAAGTACTCCCCAATTGCTGCTACCGGTTCATGCGCTGCAGTACTGCCCTCAAGTCCCCACTCATGAGCAGGGCTCTGTCCTGCCAAACATTGTGTGCATGGGGTAGCAGTCTCCCATGACCCACTACTTTCCAGGTGTGCACTGCACCATCTCCCTGCTGCCCCATTTTCTCAGGGTGGGTATGGCCAGGAGGCAATACAGCAGGGATACCTCTCACCACTTCACAGGCTGGCACCAATTTCTGTTGAGCTGCCTCCATAAGGAGCGCAGTGCTGGAGACATCCTCCCACTGTGAAGGAGCGCTGTGAAAGCCTACTCCCGGGGAGAGCCAGAGGCCCATTGCCTCAGCAGAGGTAAAGGAAGTAGCTGCACTGACTTCAATGAAAGTACAACAACTTGCACAACCTGCAGAGCTGGCCCAGGGTGGCAGAGAGCGCTGGGAGGGAGTGAAGTCCATCCCCACTCTACACGTCAAGGATCGGAGGTCATTCCCAGATGCCAAATCACCTGCAATGATGGGGAGTGGGGGCACAAGGCTTGCACCCTTTCGAGGCCCAGAGTCAGAGCAGCAGGTATAACTCTGATGCTGCCAGCCCTGCTTCAGGCCTGGGGCAGAAAACCCTCCCCCAAACCCCTCTGTTTGCATCACAGGAGAGCAAACCACCCACGGACCACGTGTCGCCACTTTGGTCAAGGCAACAAGAGAGGATCCCCAAGCCAGCCCCGCCTGCCAACCCAGCAGCCCCACGTGCTGCTGGGTGTTGTGAAAGCAGCTGGTTATCGGCCCTACAGTGCAAGAGCACAAAGCAAGCGGCTTCCAGGAAAGGAAGGAAGTGTTGGGTCACCCAGTCCGCTACCACCCTTTTCCAGCAAACAAGCCAGGCATGCTGATAACAAGGCCGATGCTATGTGCTGCAGAGGAATGTGTGTCAATAGGGAAACTATGTGACCCAGCAACGTGCTCTGAGCCATCGCGTTTACTAACACTTCCTCTCCCGTAAAGGGCTGGCAGGACCCACCGGGCAGAAGCGAGAGTAAACACGGCACAGTCCAGAGAGATTTGATCTGCCCTGCTGGACCCAGGGGCACCCCAAAACAAAAGGGTGCCTAGATCCCACATAGCCTCAGGGACCCTTCCACTCACACTGGGCCTGATTTCCTCCCACTTGCCCTGGTGTAAATCAGGGGTAACTCTGCTAAAACATCTACCAGGCACGCTCCCTGTGAGGCCCCCGTGCCCACAGCCTGGGCATCAGGAACAGCACGAACAAGGCTCAAATTGAAGACTTCAGGATAAGAGTTGGATTCCCTGTCGGAATAAAGCCTACCCAGGCTAAAAGGAAATAGGCCAGCGGTGGCAAGAGCCAGTTGCATGCCAGGCTCTGCAAAAATGAGTGAATAATTCCAGCAAAACGAAGAAGATTCGTGTGTTTATTTGCAAAGTGTCAACAGGGCAGCGGGATCTTACACGTCAGCCCAGCTCCTCCCACACTCTCACAGCCACGCTCGGCACTTGTTGGCTTTTTCTTTTGTCCTCGATTCCAGGAAAGCAGCCTGGGTCTGGGTGCTGGACTCGCCGTAGGAAGAGATGGCCCCAAAGCGGAGCTCCTGCAGCCTGAGTCTGCTCTCACCTCCATCTCTACCAGCCTCACTCAGTTTAATTCAGCAGAGTTGCTCTTGACTTGCATGCGTGGGAGGGGAATCAGGTGCTTAGACTGAAGTCAAGTCCTAAGATCTGGGGCTGCTGGATTTGCAGTTCTGGTTCACCCCTCCCCCCCCAAATGATTGAGCTGCTGGAGGGTCTGATGAACAAGGAGAGATTCACTGAGGGGAACCCACAAATATGAAGGACCTGGACCCCAGGGTGGGAGATAGGCCACTGCTTGGTGTGGAGCATGAGGCTGAAGACCCAGAGGTCTGAGTGAGAAGAGATGGGAACCCTCTTACTGAGGGGGTCATGAGCCGGCCAGCTCCTAGCTGTTGCAAGCTGGTGTGAGATTGCAATAGAGCAACACCAGCTGAGAGCATGTGAGCACCCCACCTTAGCACTGAGATGATCCAGTGGGTCTCTTCCATTACTGGTTTCCGTGCATAATAATGACATGATTGTATGATTTGGAAATAAAGTGAGGATTAATCGTTCATCTCATTAGTCCCTGCTTTACCATCTGCCTTACATATGTGCTGGAATCCCTGGTAATGCCACACAGCTAAGGACAGCCCAGATACACAGCAAAAGCAAGGAAGAGAGCTACAGACACTGCCTGGCAAGGCTGTTAGGAGATCTCCCTCCCATCAGAGATAAAATCTTAACAGGTTTTCAGCCAAGGCGTGGGATGAAAGCAGCCCTCCAGCACCCTGCTCCAAGCTGGTTCGCCTGGGAGAGTTGCCAGTGCCAAAGAGCTGCCCAGTTTGCTCCACAGAGAGTGACCCAGCTGCCTTCATGCAGATCTGACCAGGCTGCACTGGCGCCTTTATGCTGAGACTGTTGTGTGGATCGATGCATTGGCCTAACGAGTCTGCCATCGCTTGTGTGCGGTGGGGTGGGTACCAGACATGCACAGAAAAGATACAGAGGTTTATCCAGGCAGTCCCACACCCTGGATGGTAGCGGTGCACAGTCAAGGGGCGGTGGGCAGAGGTTTTGCTGCCTATGGAGCAGCCATTGAAATGCTGATTTTCAACAGCAAAAAAAAAAAAAAAAAAGGAGGTAATATCCCCTGCCGGACCAGTAAACCCCCAGCCACTGCTCATGCACTGCATGCCACCGCCACCAAGGACACCAAGTGCCACTGCTGCTGCTTTGCCCTCCCCTGTTGGAGCTGGAGCTGCTGCAGGGTGAAGGGGAGGGAGGAGACAGGAGGGTGAAGCACCCCACAGCTCCATTCCCCTGGTCCCTCCTTAGGCAGCACCTAGGGCTCATGCCCTGCTCACCCCCCATTGTTACTCAGCTGAAGAGACTGGTGAAGAGAGAAGGGACCTGGTTATAGCACCAAGCTGGCATTCCCCAGGCTTGGACACCTCGTTCCCCCTGTCTTGGCCTCAGGGCACTGCATAACCTGACCAGGCTGAGAAGCCAGGGTGGCTTCTGGCAGCAAGGTGCTCAGACACAGCAGTGCCACTGGCAGAGATCTCTGTCGCAGAGCCCCTGTGTGACCTTGGGGAATGCACCTCATGACCCGGCCTCAGTTTGCCAACTGTAAAATGAAATGATGCTACTTGCTGTCTCCCACCCCTTGTCTGTCTCTGAGGATGGGCAGAGCTTTGGGGCATGGCCTGCCTTGCCCGGGTATGTCTGGGTAGTCTCTGTGGCTTACGGGCACACCCTCACCCACCTGCTCCTGAGCCGCATGCATTAAAATCTGGGACTGCTCAGTGCTACTGGCAGACAAATGTCATGCAAACAAGCTCCTGATAAAGTCTCTCGTGCCCTGTGTGCTTTACTGCTGTAACAGAGCCCAGGGCTAGGTACCTCCCACGCAGGGGACATGGTGTAACCAAGTCACTTGGCAATAGCTAAACCCCTGGCCTGGTCCATTATACTCATCTCTCCACTAAGAGGTGGTTAGTCCAGGTTCTGTCGACACTACTACACAGCTGTGGATCTGGAGTAGGATGGGATAAGGCAACAGTGGGCTTGGACAGCACACAGAAGGGGGCAAGGTGCAATGCAGCGTTGTGCGGGGGTTAGCTTAGAACTTGTCCCAGATAAATAAATCCTCCCGGTGAGTGTTTCCTCCATCTTGCATTCACATGCACATCCCTGCCGTTGCCCAGATGGGCTACTTTTTAGGAGTGGCTTGTCCATCAGCCAACTTTATGGGGCCTTACTGTGGACCCTCTCCCAACACAGACTCAGTCAGGAGCCCTGCGAGACAGGGATGCCCCCACTCCCTAGTCAGATAGAAAAGCCAGTGCCCTGTTTCATTCATTCATTCATTCATTCATTCAGCTGTTTCTTCCTACATGCCTGTTAGCAGCCTGCCGTGTGGCCACTGCGTGGGATAGCAAGAGGAAGTACATGAAGAGAACAGGGGCTGGGGCTGAAATTTCTTAATTAGCACCTCTCAGAAACATGAGAGTCATGATGTTATTGTGGAAACTTCTCTTCCTTCAGCAAGGAGGCCCAGATCCCAGCTGGAGTCTCTCTGGGACAGGCAATGCAGGGATGCACCCAGATCAGAAACCTGCCGTAGTAGGGTTACGGGGTACTGCTGTACAGGATGGGCACAGCCGGCATGCAGGGAGTCCAGGCTGAGGGGTGCTGGCAGGGGGAAACAAGCACAGGAATTGGAGGTCAAGGTGGAGGTGCATGGGCAGAGCTAAGCAAGGAGCCAGTGCTGTAGGCCTTTCATCTTACACACAGTGAAATTCAGATCCTGCCCCCTCCAGCCTTGCACACGAGTGCAAAAGCAACAATGGACCATCAGACAACTGTCTGCAAGCAATGAGGCAGGGCGGAGCCCCGAACAATAGCCCTCGCATTATCAGGGCACCCTAGGAGCTCGCTCCGGGGAACTGGTGACTGCCAGCACATCGCTCTGCTCCCAGCTTCCTGCAGCACGAGTCTGGGAGACGTGCTGGGCGGGAGCTGCCTGCAGCACGACTGCTGATTCTCCCACCGAGACAGTCACGCCGCTGCTGCTGCCACGGAGACGGAGGCACAGATCTGCAGCCGAGGGCACGAGAACCTGCTCGCCAGCACCGCTCGCTCTGCGGGGGAAACAGACAGTGCCAGGGGCTGGATGCGGGGTTTCCAAGGCTCTGGATCCCTGCTAGCGGCAGGCAGAGCTAGGCAGGGACTTGACTGGGCATTACGCTTGGAGAGAAACAGTCCTGTCCACATGCAGACCTGCCACTGCCTGCAATCTTCTGCTGAGTCAGTGGCCGAGGCCTCTGTGCAATGAGTTTGGCAATTCTCAGCCCAGACCCTAGTGGCCAAGTGTCCGTGCCACAAAGCCACGCCTGCCCTGCCGCAAGCTGACACCCAGTCCCAGCAGAGTGGCTGAGGATCCCACAGGCCCCAGAGACAGGACTGTGCTCTGAAGACCCTGGGGGGAGCTGGTCCTTGCAGGGTCCCACAGTCTCCCTGCTTTGGGGTTGCAAAGAAAAATCAAAGGCCGATGTTTGCCTTGCAGCCCATTGGGCTAGTGTGGCTATGGGCACCCCCATTTTGATAGACAACGACACACAAGGGAGTGATGAGACCAGTATCATGTCCAGCCACCTTGGACTCCTCCATCTGAGTGACCAAGACCCCATAGCCTTCAAGTCTATGCCAGAGCAAAACTGTTGCTAGTGCCTCTGGAGCACAGCAAGCTGTCTCACCTCTGTGGGTGAGTCACCACCCACCAAAAACATTAGTGTCACCTTTTACCTCCTCTTTAAACTTCCAGTAGAAACACTCCCAGCCTCTGGAAGAATGAGACCAAGGCAGCTAAATGCAATCCTAGGGCCTCTTCACCTCTGATTTGCAGAATCAGGGCAGGGCGCATGTCTCTATGCTGAGCTGAGAGAGGTGCAGCAGCTATTCAGCTGTCACCTGGCTTGGATCAAACAACAGTGGTGCAGCTGAATGAATGAATGAATGAATGAGCCAGTTTCTGTTCTGACTTACATCTGGGGAAAAACTGAGTCATGCTTTTAAGCACCGTAGTATCTCAGTGGCGTTGCAGGTGCTCAGATAGTCTGGAGATGGGTGCAGTATTAAGAACCAGGAGAGAGATTAATAGAATCTGAGCCAGAGTTTGTATCCCCCGATTGGCAACGTGTTGGGGGCTTTGAGATCTTCTGGTGGAAGATGCTACTGGAAGCCAAAGAACTGATTGCTGTTCTGGTCTATTTAGGAACCTACCTGGCCCCCATCACAGTAGCATGCAGTCACTGCCCAGGTGCGTGTAGCACTATCATCCCCACAAAGAGAGCAGGTGACTTGCCCAAGGCCACATGGGAAGTCAGTAGCAGAACAGGGAAATAACCGCTCCCTCCCCACCCCAATTGCTCAGTTCCCAGTCCAACACCCACAGCATTCAGGTCCCCCTTGCTCTGCCAGTAGCTGGATCGTTGAATGACCCCTGGGGTGATGCGGAGCCATGTACGGCGAGGCGGATTCCCTCAGCAAAGGCCAAGCCCTTCAATAGAAGGTCTTTTGCAGAGTCCGCCTGCCTCCACACCTCCCTGAGCTGGGCAGGTAGTCGGAGCTGGCTGGATCACCCGAAACCCCGGCTCCGCAGCGGGAGGGTGTGGCTCAGGCCCTGCAGCTCCACTCCCTCCCGGCCTGGCAAAAATGTGCATGACGCTTGCACCAAAACAAACACCGTGGGAGCAGCCTCTTCCCAGGGCAACAGGTGGGAGAGCCCTGCAATGATCACAGGCAATACACAGAGGGGGATGCCAGCAGCTGGTGCAGGGCAGGGCTCCCCAGGCAATCCTGCTCTCCAGAGGGGAGTCTTCCCTCCCCCAAGCTGGCTCAGACGGGTGCCTCCGATTGCCTTCACCCTGGTTGGAGTCCAGGGGAAGGAATCAGCGCTGGGTTTCCACGCGCTGCCCCCTTGGCGCGGCCCTGCCTCCAGCTGTGGCAGCATGCCACGCTCTCAGACTTGGGCTCGAATCTCTTGACCTGGGCTCCATCCCATAGCTGCCAGACACAGATCTCCCGTGCGCAAGAAGCTGTTATGACAGCGCCTTGTAGCTAGGAAACCGTGCTGGGGAATAGTCTTGTTTTGGCAACGGAGAGCCACGGCTGAGCCAGAGCCAATTGCAGCGAGGTCATCTACATAGCAGGCAGGCTCCCGCAGGGCCGGAGCGCTCCATTTGGGGAGCGCTGGGCTGCCGGCCCGTTCCAGGACAGGCTGTGCTAGTGCCGGGCTTCGGGGCCTCATTCTTGCCCAGAAAAGGGGCACATTTCCCAGGCTGGATTCCCAGCATGACTGCCGCACCTCTGCCCGCGGTGACTCAGAGCTCGCCGCTGTCAAAAGCTGTTTCCACAGCTCATTCATCACTGGGTCCAGGGAGGACAAGTCCGGCAGGAGGGCTGGCATGTGCTCTGTTTCACCCTGCTGAGCTCCCGGCCTGGGGAGCAATGGTCACAGCTGTGCCATCGGGGTGCCCGGCTGTTCCCAATGATCTCGGGGCTTCCAGCTCTGAAGAGCTGGCTATCACCTGGTACTAGTTATCCTGCCGTGGCCAATGGGTCAGGCTGCAGGAATGTGGGCCAGGCAGGTGTGACCGGCACTGGAGCGATCACGTATCAGCAGCAGCTGTCTGGGGCCAGCTGAGCCAGAGCAGGACGTGCTGGTCTGCAATGTGATTATTAGCTAGTGTCAGTCCCGATAGGGGCAAATGTACCGAACTGCTGCCTCTTTCCTGTGCCAGGCATAGCAGCGGGAGTGGGGCCTAGAGCTGTGTAGGCAAGCTCTGTGCCACCTCCGCCACGGAGACCCGGCAGCAGCTATGCACCTTGGCATCTGTGGTGGAAGCCGATTGATTGCAAAGAGCCCCAGGCAAGGAGATCCCCATCTACAGCTCAGAGCTCAGGCAATGGCTGTGAATTGCATGTCTGACAAGGACGTGCCAGCCTGCCCTGGACTCCACCGGGGAAGGGACTCTGCCCACTCAGGTCCCTTAGGACCTCTCGGAGGTTTCGGTGCATGCTGTAGGGCAGCTTGGAGAGGAAGTTGCCACCTTGCTTTGGACTGTTTCAGCCCCACGTTACGTTCAAAGCAAAAAACCCCAAACCTGAGCTGGCGTAAGCACTGAATTTCCTTCCCTCCATGCTGTCTCCAGGCCAGGTGAAATGTCCATCATAGGTGAGGTGTGGGGAAATCCAGAATTGAGCAAACATGGAAACATTTGCCTTCCCTCATCCTGCCTGGCCCCTGGCCTCAGTGACCTGTGGCAGCCTCCGGTCGAGGTGGAGCAGCTAGGGTGTCACACTTTCAATCAGGCTGTCTGGAGATCAGTTAGGCCGAGGGGATGTGTTTGCTTGACATACGGCATTGAGAAGCTGGGTGGTCTGGGCTGGTCCTTCCCGTCAGGTAGGGCATCACTGCTGCATGGAAAAGCTTGGGGTTATACTCAGGCTCTCCAAGAAGCCAGTTTGGAGATGGGAGGCCCACACTGAGATGCAAGACCATCCCCTTGACAGATGCATATCACTAATGACAATACTCTTTTCTGTGCTCTCCGAAGTTGCCTGTGCCCCATGTGTCTGAAAAAGGACCATGACAAGATGAAAGAGATTTCTTGTCTGGCCTCCTCACCCCTGGCTATCTGGGGTGTATTTCCTACAGCAGACTCAGGCACTTTCCCATGGTCAATGGGGTCAGCATTCTCATCTATGGAGAGGGGAACGTGAGCAGTATACCTGTGGAAAGGGCATCTCCTCTCATTCGGGACCCACGGAGCCGTACACCAATGTCGAGAGCTGGGCTCCGCTTCTCCAAAGAGCTGAGATTGCTCATGTTCGGCTAGAGCTTAAAATATATATGAAAGTGCTGCTTCTCATGAGCAAATCCTTGAGGAGATGCGAGAGGCGATGTGAAACCTGCTATGTCTGAACTCATGGGGCCAGCTCCTCAGGGGATGTAAAATCAGCATCACAGCCCCATCTGTTCAGGTAGCATAAATCAGTGCAGCTGCGTGGATTCCTCTTCCTCCCCACCCCAAATTGTACCAGTGTACACAGACTGAGTCTCTGTCTTGTGGCGGGGGTGAAACCCGAACCTGCTGCCAGTCCCCGAGTTCACACCTTCATCCGGGAACAGCTTAGCTTGAAGCTGTGTCCAGAAAGAGAGACAGCAGCTAATGCTCAAGGCGGGGACTTGTGTTCCTGAGGACATGGAGGTGACAGAGAACCGGGCTCTGACTTCTGGCTGCTGAAGGGTTAGTTCATGCTTTTAGTGTGTCATGAAAACAATAAGCAGGGATTTCTTTGCTGGGTACAGACACTAAGCTCTTAAGTGACTGTAGACCAGGGGTGGGCAAAATGCGGCCCGTGGGCCAGATGCGGCCTGCCAGGACCCTAAAAAATTTAGAAAATTAATATTTATCTGCCCCCGGCTGCTTGTCTTGCGGCCCTTGATGGCTCGCCAAAACTCAGTAAGCAGCCCTCTGCCTGAAATAATTGCCTGCCCCTGCTATAGACCCACACTGTCCTCCTCCCCCTGCCTTTCCTTATCCCTCCCGTGGCAGTCATCACTCCTGTGTCTTGCATCCTAACCAGGGACATGGTCCCACTAGTCCCGCCACCCAAGATGGCTTTCTGCACTGAGTGCAATGCCCCCAACAGCAATGAGACCACCCCTCGCAGGAAGCATTTTGTCTGGTAGCTAATGTTTGCCAAGGCTAAGCTTTTGTGGCCCCAGTACTGCACCTGGATCCCCACAAGCTGCCTTAAGGGCTCATTAACTCCCCAGGGACTTGGAGCAGGCCTGAGGGTCTGTCCATCTAAATCCGATGGCCGGTCACGACTGTGGATTGCATGCTCTTTAGGGTGGAGGATTGCACTGTCTGCCCTGGGCCCCAGTCCAGCAGGCACATTTAACAACGAGCACGTGGCTGCAGGATCGGGGGCTGTGCTGGATTGGGGCCAGCGCTCTCAGCTCCCTGCAGGAGCAAGACCTAACGGATTTGCTGGAGTCACAGGCAGTTTGTAGCAGTGCCAGGGCTGGGATCTGAATCTAGCACCTCCAGGTCCTGTCCACTAGCATGTCCACTGCACCGGGCTACTCATTGGGCCTCCTGGCTGAGGCTGCTTCCTCAACACCAGCTTCACCTAGAGCTGACCTGTGCCCCATCTGCATTTACCTGGGTGAAGGTGAGGGGCTTAGAAGAAAGAGGCATTTAAAACTCCCCAGGACTGCAGTACACTTCCCCCACCCCATCGTTTGCTGACCTGGCCTGAACCAGGGCAAGGTAAGACCTTTGGAAGGCAGAGACACAACTGGGGGAACCCCGCAGAAGGGAAGATAGCAGCTAAAGGACAGGGGGCTGGGAGACATACATGTCTCCTGGGCTCCCATTTCTACCCAGGCTATGCCCCCACCTCAGTTTCCCCATGTATAGCATAGCAATAATGATACCAGCCTCCTTTCTTTAGAGGCTTCATTAGTGATGGCCTGCAAAGGGCTGCGAGCTGTTTAGATGCACGGTGCCCAAAGGGAGGAAAATAACATCAGTCCATGGGAACAGGGCACAGGGCAGGTCCTAGCTTCTTTGAGGAGGATTCCCTGTGAGCGAGCGGGCTCTGGTCCCCTCGACATCCGTGTTACGCATTCACTCCCCATCCCGGGGCTTCATTTCGAGGCAGCCATGCTGAAAAATCCCACAGAAGAACAAGCCTGCCGTCCACCCTATTGAGACATTGTCTGAGCGCCTGTTCCGATTGTCACAGGGAGCTGGGAGCTGCCCCTAGCAGCCAGGCAACCAGGCCCCGAGCACACCCTCAACACAGAGCGGGGAATTTTTAAAGCAGAGGAAAAGCATCATGTCCAAGAATCAGGGCTTCACGCCACATCTCAGCTGGACCCACTCAAGTCATACCCCACTTCAGCCACGAGACCACCCATTTCCTAGTAAAAGCCAGTTGTGTTTCTGAATCCTTGGAAAGCAGGAAAAAATTCACAGGCCCTTTTCCTGTTACAAGATCTGCAGCCAAGGACTTCAGAGTGATGAGTGATTTGGAAGCTCGGCCTTGAGAGGCTGTAAAACATGGGTCTTGTCGCCACAGTGCTGCATGCCCCCCTCTGAAAACAGCCCGCTGGCAGGTGTCTCGGGTCAGGGACCCAAAAACAGGAATCCCCCAAAACGCTTTCAAATCTCTCAGTTTGTGGTTTGATTTAGCTTTGCTGAGCTGGTGATTCCCAGACACCCTGCCCTGGGATGCAGGGCAATTGCCAATATTGGGCTGACACATGAGCTATACTCAGTGGCTCCAGTCTGACTCTGGTCTGACCTGGGTCTCTGATGTGCTGTTTAGTGCTGACCAACCCCCATGTGATCATCCTGTGAAGGTCAGTTCCCCTTTTCATGCCCTCAGTTACTATTAAAAAACTATCATCCCTTCCCTCCCCACTGCCTATCCCCACAATAAAAAGATAAGCCTGGTCAGGATTTTCATCCCTCACCTTGTGCCTTGCCTTCTCTTTGTGGCTTGACAGTAGAGTGGGTTGGGAATCTCTTTTTGGGGAGGCTGGAAAAAGTGAATTGAAACAGTTCCCAGGAAAGGGCTAGTTTGGACTGATCCCCCAACCAAATTGTCAAAACACCCTATTCTTGGCCTTCTCCTACTGAAAAGGTGAATGCTTCTGTTTGAAGCTGCTTCTCACTTTGAAGTTACCAAAAAGGGGATAAAACCCTTTAAAAGATCGACACCTCCACAACACGCTCCGGAGTCCTGATGGGAAATCTCTTTTGGGTGATCAGCTTATAAACGCACAGACTTTCCATCGCAAGTCCGAGTGGGAGACCTTGGGAGCTCCAACATTTGCACAGGCAGGGAGGTCTAGAAAGGCCCACAAAGTAGATCTGCAGCAGACTGTGAACGGGACTTCTGCTCCCCAGCTCCTTGTTCTAACCTCTGGATCCGTGTCACCCCCGGAGGTGGAAACAGCACACAGGGATCCTGAATCCTGCCCACTAGATCAGGGGGAACCAAGATACAGCCCCTGGGGCCAGATTTGACCCATGGAACCATGTCAACCAGGCCACGGGACTTCCCATGGGTCCAGAAATTTGGCAGCATGGTGAGTGGTGACCAATGAGCGCCCTGCTGCCAAATTTCCAGATGTGTTGGAAGCCCTGCAGGCTAGATCCAAAGCAGGGAGCTGCGTCCTCTGGCTCACAGCCTGGAAATTTGGTGGTCAGAGTAAAGGTGGCTGCTGCAGCTCTGAGAGCCACAGTTGTTAACACTGCCACCACCAAATTCCATCCCCAAAAGCCATGTGGCATGGGTCCATGCTCCAGATCTGGCCCGCAGACCAGAGGATGAGTTGGACACCATACACTAGACCACGCTCTTCTACCCAGTGATGCGGTCACTTTTGCTCCCACTGAAATACATTAGCATTTGCCTTTAGTTAATAGCAATGGGGGAGCAAAATGAGACCCCCAGGGGAGCCAGCCCCCAGCCTGGGAGCCCTTGCAAGGCTGCTGCGAAGCCTGCAGCTCTGCTCCATGCAGTGAGCTCTGCCCTGGTCCCACCTCCCTCTCCCAGCCCTTCTGGAACAGATAAACAAGGCGGCTAATCTGATGCAGGGACAGCACCGTAAATGGCTATCCTGACCGACTCCTGGAATTCCACTTACTGCCCTGACTTCTGGAAGGATCAAAGCCAAGGCAGCTCATCAGGCAGTCACCTGCCAGCCAGACAAGTGCTCTTGTGTTCCTCTGGGGAGGCCGTGTGACTTGTGGAGCTTTTTAAATAGAAGGGCTGATCTCACAATGGAGAAAATGTTTCCCTGATCTCACATTCATCTGCTAAGGTCAAGGTTCAGAGAGAGGAAACAGCCCCCACACGCAGCCCCCCTACCCCCCACCCCATCCCAGCCACCTCCCAGGCCCGGGGTCCCTGCATATGACATCATCTCCCTCCAATCGCAGAGGCAGACGGCTGAAGGTTTGGGCGCCAGAGGGAGGGGCACGCAGGCACCACCCCGTTTTCTTCCCAATGCCAGTCCACTGGTGCTGGGTGGGAGCTGGCACAGCCTGGTTCTCAGAGGAGAAGAGGTGTCCTGCATGTTCTCGGTGAGCGCTGGCAAATTCAGTGCATGGCCCGACATCACCACGCAGGCTAGCATCCCTCCTCTGCTCCCAAGCCTCTCCCTTACATCCACCCCAGTTCCCCTCTTCTCCCCATTTCTTGGTCCCCTCCCCAGCAGTGTCCTAACTAAGGGCCCTCCTGCCAATATACACACCATACACAGCAGGAGCCGGCACAAGGCCCCTCTTCTCACGGGTCTTTGCTCAAGGTCCCACAAATGCACAGGCCGGACGGGGGTCACGAGCATGGTGCAGGCAGGTTCAGCTGTGAGGGAGACCCAAGCTACATTGAAGGGACCTCTCTGCTCTCTGATATGGCATTAGATCACTGAACACATGTCCCCCTGGAATGAAGGTGCCATGGAACAGACTGTGCTAAGAGCACCATGTCCCCAAGGACTCATGTTTCACAGGACAAAAATGTGTTCTGCACTGGATTCCCCCTCTATAATCCCCAGGGGCCTATGTCCATGTAAAGGGCAAAAGAGCAAAGGATGTTAAAGCAGTAGCAGGCCCTCTCTGCTCTGCTGCAGTTTGGCTCTATTTAAGTCCTGGGCAACACTGGAAATTAGCCCCAGTTCTAGACATCCTGGGAATCCCCTGGGCAGCAATGCTATGGAGATTATGTCTGCCTGGAACCCAGGGAAGGTGCAAAGTCCTGGCTTTCCTCCTCTGTACAAGGCATTTTCAGAGATGAAGCTGTGTTGGCAATTAAATGGTTTCCAGTCCAGCCAAGACCTAGTGCTAGTCCCCTGCCTTGCTTTAGCATGTCCTCTCCAGGGAGCTCACACCACTTTGAGGACATCAGTGAATTTATCCCCACACTCCCATGTCAGGTGGGTGTTACTGGCCCTAATTGAGAGCTGGGGGAACTGAGGCACAGAGATGAAATGACTTGCCTATAGTCACACCCTGACTCAGTGGCAGAAACAGGAAGAGAACCCAGTGGTCCTGATGCCCAGTCCCATATTCTGATCTCATGCTGTAGCCAAATAACACTCCTCCCCCTTGTCTATTTTGCCACCCCATGTTCTATGCTCTTTGTCCCTAATGCCCAAGGACTTGGCACCCCCCCAGCATGACACTGGAAGTCTGCTAGCTGCAGTGTGGGAAAATGCAAACAGCACCGTGAAGGGATGGTGCATGAGGGAGATGCAGGCATGGCTCAAGGTTAAGGCTCCTGGGGTTGTGAGGACTGGGTCCACAATTCCTTTTAGCAGCCCAGCAATGGGGTTCATAGACTCTAGACACAATGGATGTCATGGACGAGGGAAGCAACCCATCATCGAATGAGGGAGCCACAGCAAGAATGTGTCCCTGCTGGCTGTGAATGGATGTCACTGGGCACCACTGTGCCCACTGCAATCTACTGGTGCTGCCTGCATGAGGCCGGGAAGGACTTTTCTCTTGCAATCCCTGCAAGCGTGGAAAATAGCAGGTTTCTAGGCAGCTCCTTTGGCTTGTGGCCTGGTAACAAAAAGGCGCCTCTTGATTGGAGTTTGGGACCAAGGGCTTTGCCAGATCAGATCGGCCCATATGTCCATCCCCTCCTAGCAGCCTTCTTCTGGCCATGCCCAGTACCCGTTACCATGGAAAGGATGCTGGGCTTGAGGGCTGAGAGTTGTCAAAGCTCCCCAAAGCCGTGGTGGTTGGCTGTGTGTGCATAGCCAGTACAACAGAACGGTGACTGCATCACGTGTGGGCAGACCTGAGTCACCTTCAGTCTAGCTGGCTTGGGAGGACTTCAGAACAGGCTGTACTAGCCTGCCCACCGCTCGGGGGACCCACTTGAGTAGCTAGCTCATGCTGAAACCCACTGATACCTGGGCCAGCTACATTACATAGCCAAGTATATCAACGTGGGCTACAATCACCCCATGGAGTAGACTTAGCCATCATTGTAGAATGCTTGGTCTCTGGCCTGCCAGCTGCAGCGAGCCCATCTAGATCTGTCTGGAATTAAAGGCAATGAATAAAAGGGGAAAATACCCATGGTTCATCACATACCATATACAGAGCGGGGCTCTAGTGTGGGGAGGGTGGATTACAGATCTTCCCTGACAGGGCTGCATTCAGATCCTGGCTTTATGCTACAAATTAAAGCAACTTGCAGCTCATCTCCATCCCCGGTAGTTGCCACAAAACCAGCACATGCTTCAGTCTGATTCAGCTTCTCTCGAGAGGGGCCCTGTGTCTGCGTGGAAGAGGCCCAAGCCTGGAATAGCAGGGGGGCATGCAGGTTGGGATTAGGCAGAGCTGTGCAGAAGTATGCCAAGCATCTGCCTGCTCACTGCCTGCTGAAACAAATGCTAGGTGGCCCTCGTGCTCTCCAGCTCTTCATCTGTTTCCAATACTGCGAAGAACTGGATTCAAATGACTGGCCAGACACTACAACAGGGCAATCACATCCTTCCAAGCTGGCTTCGACTCCAGCAGAAATGAGGAAGAAAGAGCAGGCAAATTTCCACTCCAGCCACCTGCTGCTTGCACCTGCCCCAGTGGAACGGCTCCGGGACCCCACTGGTGGGGCAAGGCTCATTCCACCGCTGCATCTGGCACTGCTGCCACCCCCACTAGCCAAACTTCCCTGAATGGACTGCGCCTGGCAATGCTGGGGCCCACTAACAGCCTCCCCCCGCGTGAGCTGAGCCTGGCAACGCTGCCGCCCACTTGTTGGCTCTCTCTGAATGAGTCAAGTGCCTGGCAAGCCCGCCACGGCACAAGCTGGTTCTCTCTGAATGGGTAGTGCCTGGCACGTTCATCCTCTCCTTCCAAGACCAAAAGGTAGCTAATGAATGGTTGGGAGGGGAAGGACCTAAGGGGGCATGTTGTGCAGGTGGATCTCCCCAGAGGGCTGAGGGGTGTGTGGTAGGCATGGTAGGACCAGGGTTTGAATGACACTTTGACTCATGCGGGAGCCCTGCAAAAAAATTAAACTGGCTCATTGGAAGGAGCAATCCGATCAGAGACACCCCCGCCCCAGGTTATGATTTTCAAATCTTATAGGGGGGCTCCATCTCTTATGGCCAGGCTCAGCCCCCCTGAGCTCCCCCATAATTCGCACCCTGGCTAGGACACAATCTTTTTTGCAGCCTCCTCCAGCTCTGCCTCCCAGGCAGAGGTTCAATGCATTAAGGTGCTCAGATGTGAGGATCATGGTAAGGGGCATCTAAGAGCCTTACATGTGTGTTGCAGGATCCTATGATCCTGGGAAGGTCAAGGGTCTGCCTGAGCCCAGATGGCTCATCAGGCAAACATGGTTCAGACACACCAGTTTCTAAAGCCAACAGCACTCAAGAGAGCGATACAGCCAGAGACACAGCTGGTCGCCTTTGCCTCCCACCCCAAGTGGAGGTGGGAGGCAAAGGCATAAGCTGGGGGAAGCCACTGGCATAAGTCTGGAGCAAATCTCGAACTCACTCCTCTGAACCCCTGGCTGTAACTATGGCACCTCCATGCCAGATTTTCCCAGAACTCCTGCTACTCTTCCTGCCACGGTGCCTGGCTTAGCTGCACCAACACTGAGAGCACTAGCACAGCCAGGGCCCAGCTAGTGTGTGCTCTGCATCCCTGCAGTGTGATGTGGGGGGAAAGTGAAGTGTCCCCCTAAATGTGCTCAGCCTGTGAGACTGACCGGTTTTAAGCCCGGGGTGCTTTGCAGTTGTGGTGTGCAAGAGGGACCAGTGTGGACCCTTGCAGACAGATGCAGGGGACAGATTCCTGCTTGGGACACCCTGTCCACTTATATTGCCCAATGTACTAGTCAGTGGCTCTTTGGCTTGCGAAACACAAAGAGAATAAATGTGCATTAGCTCTGGTGTAGGCAGCAGCAGCAGCCAGAGTGCTCAGCACCATAATTGGAGCCAGATTTTCCAGACAGCTCAGACTCCATCCAGGAACCTAAATGAGGGCCAGACGTGTCATGAGCATCCTGTTCCCAACAGCCTCCCTGCTACACACTGGGGCAGATCCTCCAATCTCTCCATTTATTTTGGTACCTAAGCGAAAACTAAACTCTTTTGAGCCCTGAAGGTCAAACCTGGGTATAACACGCTGAGAACTCACGCAAGGAAACAAGGCCAGATTCTCAGCCGGCGCAAGCTGAAGTCAGTGGAGCTCTGCCAAGGCAGACGAGCTAAGCATTTGGCTTACGGTTTTTAAATATGGTTCTAATACAGCTACACTCCATTGATTCCTGAAGATAATGTTAAAACCCGAGTAGACAGGCCCTGACACCACACATGGTTTCTGTATCCTGGGCAGAACAGAGGGAATAAAGCAAAAAGGTCTCTGCAAATATGCGCTACAACTTTCAAACAAGCATCCTTTTGTCTGCATTCGCACTTGTCTTATAGCTGCTTCCAGGGAACTTCCGAGCAGTCCCAGCACCAGCTATCCTGGGAACCAAATTTCTGAGCTAATTGCACTATTCATGCTGGAAGTGCTCCTGCCCTTGTCCAATCGGGGAGGTGCAAGCAAGGCCATGTGATGTGCCCGACCAACTGCTGCTAAGCAATGCAGCTCAAATTTGGAATATTCATGATCAAGTGGCAGGCCGACTAAGAAAGAAAACTGACCCGATGTCCCTCCGATCAATTCAGACACACGAGGTTGAGGAAATTGCAGTCTGAGCTGGAATTTGACTCAGGCCAAAAAAAAAAAAAAAAAGGCTGCCACTGGAGGAATAATCTGTTTGCTGAGACTGCTTCCCTCTCCCCTAGTGTTAAAGGCAGTGCTATATATGTACACACGCACGGGGCCGCACTCATGGTCACAGGGTTTCCTATACACATCACACAGATCTATCCCCTACCCCCTCCTTCCCTGCTGCTCTGCAGGAGGGTTTGCTTGTAAACAGCAGTCACTTAGTAACACGCTTCATGGGTTGCCTCTGGGCTCTTATTCATCACAGACTAACCCTAAAGCCCAGCCCTGCTCTGCAAGGCACCCCCAGAACAGAGGAAATTCCACAGCTCTGATGTGATGTGAAACAGGATCTCCCAAGCCCCAGTGAACCCCGCCTTCCCCTCCCCATTCTCCCTCTGTCTCTTTGCCATTTCCCAAACCAGGTCTCCTTGCTTTACCCTCTCCCTCCCCCTTCCACCACCCTTTTCTGTTTTAGACATTGTAACCCGAGAGGCTGGAAATGCAGCTTCTTTCATCTTCCATTTCCCACATCCTGAGAGTCTGGAGAGACAGAGCCCACCCAGATAAAGGCATCCCAAGTATGTGGATCCTTCCACCTCCCCTCTCCCCCTCTCCAGCCCCCCATGCGGCTC